TTCGGCGAGGATCGTGGTGAGTTCAACATGTGGCCTAACGGCAGTAGACGTCAAGTCGCCATCACTCTCCGCTAACTCATCCGCAGATTGCAATCTTGTTGCCACCCAATCACGATATCACCAGGACGATGAATTCATTCGCGTCGGGGTTGACCGCTTACTGCAAAAAGACATACTCAAACCATCAACGTTTTCTTGGAGAGAGCAAGTTTCGGTTACCAAGACTGTCAATCATAAAGTCGGATGGTTGTCGACCAATGCCGAGCTACCAACCGTTTCACATATCTGGACACAACTATCCGCCGCGCCTGGACAAAATGATTGAGGAAACTTAGCAGACATCAAGTCTCCATGTCAGCATCTGAGAAACCTATCACAGCACCCGAGGCCTGTCGTGGCCTCTCAGTTTCATCGCACACCCTTCAGTGTGACAGACGGTGGCACGTTTTCCGCGAACAATACCCAGTCCGGAAAGCTGAAAAGCACACACACCTAAATAGACAACATGACTATGCGTGGCGACCGCATGGTCACGATCCTTCCTAGGAGCTATAGGGGAGCATGAAATCACTGCCTTCTAGTTTATAGGGTTTCAAATAAAGCCCGACACTGAACACATGGAACCCATTTGTCAGTTACCTCCACCATGTACTGCCACGGAAATGCAATGCGTCCTCGGTACGTCCGCATATTACGCCCATTGGATATCTTCGTTTTCCGACAAAACTAACAAACTGACCGAGAATAAACCATTACCTCTACTTGCCGACGTCGAATCAGCCTTCGAGAACCTAGACAGGCTGGAAAATGCTACGCTAATTGCGCTCGACTAATACGACCCTTCGGTTGTTGAAACGGACGCCTCACACGCTGCTATAGTCGCATCCCTCGGCCAAAACCATCGACCGGATGCCTTTTACTCGAAGACAATCAATTCGAGCGAGAATCACCCGGTCATGAAGGTGTGCGCTATCGTCGAATACATTATGAAACTGCAGCACTATCTACTCGGCAGGCTCTTGAAACTGGTGGGCGTTCAGTGATGTATGGTCGCTGGCGATTTACGACGGCGGATAGGAGAGTAGAGTGAAAAATAACTAATACAGCGCTGGAGGAGTGAGTTAACCGAGTACATGTATGACATTACACATCGACCCGTCAAGGACATTCATGTTACCCACTGCCGCGCAACAACCAGCTACACAGCCCTTTTGCCGCCCAGGGATCCCATGTATTTCATTTTGTATGTTGCAAGAATCTCCCGTATTCTGTCGACGATGTTGGGCATGTTATTTTTATTTGCAAAGTGCGCCGAGCTGGAGCCGTGATTCCGGGAATCATCCTAGTAAACCCATTAAAGCAACATTATCTTTTAAGCGTTTGAATTTGGATTTTAAAGCTTCCTTACCATCTAACATATCAAACAGCTACATGCTCACGACTATCTACGAGTTCTCCAGATCCCCGATCGCACTGGCGTGTGCGAACATCACAAAAATGTTTAGTTGGAATGCCAGTCTATATCTCTTCCGACAGAGGCTTATCGTTCACGTTGCCGGAGGTCAAAAGCTTTCTTCTGAAGAAAGGTGTTGTTGATTCACACCGGCTTACAATCCAGTGTAACGGTCCAGTTTGGCGTCTCAACAGGACCCTCCGTATAACGATAAACCTGGCAATGAGAACTCACATGCCGCCCTCATTGGGAATCGGTCCTTTCTGATGCTGTGCAAAGCCTCCGGTCACTGCTTGGTGCGGCAACAAATGATACTCCATACTAACGGTTGTTTCGATACGCAGGTCGCTCAACCTTTAGAATCTCACTGCCACCTTGGTAGTGGAGGAAGTCTACCTGAGCTGCAACCCTCATTATGCAAACCGTATTTCTTCAAAGTCTACATCGATGGTTCAGAATACAACTAGCACTCGATCTGCTTGAGTCCAATGGGGACACCGGGCACTCATACGTGACTGAGATAGCCGGACGCCGGTTCCATAGCTGTCAAGCAGCTCAACTCTCTTTGGCACCATCCTCCGGAAGCCAACCGAGTTATCATGAAGATTCAGAAAAGCGACGCATTTATCACTACAGCTTGAAAAACAGGGAAGCCTGATTCGATGCGTCATCCACTGTCTACGTCAATTCACACGATGCCGAGATAATCGTTTATTATTTATTCGTTTATTACTGTGTTCACCTTGTGTACCTATCCTGAATCTTTTTGGGTTCATGTCGGCTCGTCCATCTTTGTTCTCAGAAAAAAGCGTTACTATCGACAACTCGGACGCTCCTAACTTATCTTTAGACCCACAGGCCGTATAGATGTTGCCTTGGTTTGGAGCCAACCAAAAGTGCGATTTGCCAAGGCGAGCGATATCCACTGCCGGATGGCAGTTGAGTGGTGAACCACTCAAAAATGAGTGGCGGGTTTAGTTCAAAACGACCAGCAGGATCGGACGCATTCAGATTAACTATTCCACCAGAAACGCCTATTCATATAACTTCCAGCAATTGAAGTGTAGAACGAGATCAAATGTACACGGAAAATCTTCTCACTCATCAAGAACGGATGCCAGACGGGTCTCGACACATTAAATATGTCAAAGAACCGATGGATATGGTAAAAAGGCCAAAAACGGCGATTTTGGGTTTTTCTTAAACCACCCGGAAACAGATGAGAAAATCAGCGCCCCCAAACGGTTCTATACAGCCGAACTGTGTATTAATCGTGTTTATGCAGCAAAGCACCTGAGTCATCAAGCAACATTGATACCAGTTCTCAAACTGTGGTAAGTTGCTGTATAGAATAGATCGGCAAGCAGACACGTTAGTTTGCGGCTGTCGCTACATCGATGAGCGAAGCTGTATTCGCTTGAACGTAGTATGGATTCGTTACATCCCTCGCCGTTTGAATCAATAAATTACTGTCGCACAGAGGTAGCCATCGACACATTCCCCTTAACACGACCCAAGGTCGACGAAAATCACAGACAACCCGAATTGACAGTACCTTTTTTGGGGCTCATTGCACAGGCACGTTTCCGATTTTTCATCAGTATGGCTTAATGTTTCCGAATGTGTTCAAGATGATAAAGTTGGAACCCATCAATGACGCAATAGTCTCGTGCAGGATAAATCGGTGAATGCAGTGAGGAGCGAAGGCACAAACACCCAGTCATCCTACGAGCGAAAATACAAAACCCGATGAATATACTATACGTTGGTAGGCAACACAACACCCTGCACCGTAACTTGAGACACACGTACCTAACAAACACATATACAGTGTTTCATTCGCAGTCAAGTCCATCCTAGAGCTCCCTTCCCATTTCATTGCGAACCTGTAAATTCGAGGAAAAATGACAACTGGATGGAAGATCCAGGGGTTCATTTTTGGTAAAAATGCTGACTACGGTAGGACCGCATTAATCGCTGTGCTGAGGCGACTGTCGGCTGATGCACAAGCTGGTGTCATCTGTACCGTAATGCCCAGTCCTAGGGACAAGGTCAATGTTCTGGTGCCAAATAACAATACATCACTAGCTGTCGCAAACTTGGGTAGGAACTTCAGAACCCTCAAGATCACATAAGAAGCTTGCGCTCAGTGGCCGACTCAGTCGAATTCACTTCACTTTCATCATTATTGACACCAATACATCAGTAGTACATAATGCTGTTCGTCTGCCGGTCTCGCCACATTAAACGTTCATTGTTTTCTGGATTAAAATAGGTACTGCGCGGAAACGAGTGTTCATAAGTCTACAGGACATATTTGACCACTGGCTGCCTGAGTTGTGATAACCACGACTGTACAGTATTGATACTACTTGAATAACCTAGCTGCACTCTGCAGCTGGTTGGAGAGGCGTGCCTCACTCGTCTGATGTACTGTGCTCCAACGAGCCCACAATTTAAAGTGAGCTCGTCATCACTTCCACATCATGCACATAGCTCCGCGTTGAATTACTGAACCGTATATTGTGACATTATGATATCATACCCTTTGCTAGCGTCCATTGTCTTCATAATACCCATTCAAAAAACTGTTTATTCGATCGCCAAAGGTTGCTTGTTTCGCGGCTGTCAGCGACTCAATCTGGATCTCACCCTGTAGCTATGAACCCCTCCTTAGACGCAGTAGGTTGACAAAATTTAAACCACCGTGTTTCGGTACTTTGTTACGCCGACGATAAAACTTTCTCAGCGGACGAGGATGCCGAACCTCTGCGGAGTTCCTCCAGAGCTTCAACACCCCTGAATGATTTTCCGCCAGATGCAGAGGACAATTAATGGTTTCATGATATGCAGACGTTTGATGCTGACGATCGCTCTGAGCTCCAGATAGCTCAGCAATCAAGGCACGAAATTACCGACCAGAAGGTTCGTGGCTCGAAACCAACCCCGTATCGCGACTGCTCTTGGTTGGGCTTGGGGACCTGACAGCACCTTAATCATTGTGCCTTCTTTGGGTGACAAAACAGCAAGGCAGATTAACGACCATTATCATGATGTGCTTCACGGTAAGACTAGCTTCAAGTCCATTACACTTCCCCGGTCAGGTTTCACCAGCACCCACCCTTCGGGAACGTTGGTTGTTCCGCAGGCAACCACAGCGCCATGTTTGTGACGTGAAATGCATTGTGATTGAATTGATTCATCACCGACAGCATGACATCAGTGTTCAACGTTGATGCTTTACCGCCTTAAAACCACGATCGAATCGAATAAAGTAGATACGACCCGAGCAAACAGGGCAAGGTAGCCATACGCAGTATGTCTCAGGGTTAAAGTTTTCAAGCAAATAGAAGTGGCCAGAAAGCTCAGCCCGAGGTCCAGCAAAAGCACCTTATCACTAGACCTCATCAACTCGCCAAGAACAACTCGAGGTATGGTGACTATGGTTAACCAGAATCATTTAAACGTGTAGGTTGCGATCGAAGAATTTCCGGGAACATCCAGTAATCGCATAAATCCCAAACTCGAGAACCAAGACCTTCGGGTTGTTTAAACAAAATGGTATATTCCAATGACAAACATTTAGGTCTTCAAGATGACATAAAAGCAACTACCAACGGCGAGGTGAAGGACCACGATACCAACCACCACGTGGTGGATAAACCGGTTTTTCGGTCGACCTGTAATTGTAACGAGGTTCAGGCGATCGTCCTCGGGGCGGCGGACGAGACTCACCGGGACCAAATTCCTTCGGAGGTATAAACGGCGGACATTCTGCAGGCGGATAACCTCGCGGTCCATCTGTCGAGAGAAGTTTGCATTATTTTCCCTGGTTTTTCTCGTGTACGACGAAACAAAAAGACGGATGCGTAAACGCCCAGTAAACACTTTCAGACGTGCAGACAACTTTCAAGTGAAATACAACGAAGTGAGAAACTAATCGAAAAGATCAACTTTTTTAGACGCGACACGACCCACACAAATTGAGGCAATATTCCACGACTAGATCCCCAGCAACAGTTAGAACATTTCGCAACCACTCGCACAACAGTCAACGAATTCGGACCTATAAGCACGGAAAACGGTTACCGACTCGCCAGCCAACTCGTGCACCAGCAACTAGTCTCCCATCACGGCTGAACCCAACTCTGGACTATTACCGAAGACCTAATTCGGAGAAGCGTTTACGGCACACGACGTCGCCGGTTGCTGACTCTCGCAAGTGTCGATGACTATTCGATGTTCATCATGACATTCAAAAAGCGCTACCGTGCGTCTGCCGGACGGTGGTGCGGATAACATCTGGTCGAGCCCGTCGTACGGCAAAATTCAGCACCCGGGTGCCATCTGATTTGAAGCCACAAAATTCACCAACTGGACGTCGGTGCAGGATACCTCCGGAGTATAGGCCCCTTCCGGACATTCTCAGCGACAGCAATAGTGCCCATCCTAGGGACTAACAGGATTTATTTCCCACTTCTCATCCCAGGGAACGAAATCACTTCCATGACCTTAGGGAACGATACCCACACCTCCTCTAACCAAAACACCCATCGGCATAGGCCCTGTTGCCTCACGGAAAAACGAATGCACCACGGACAACTACCATCCGTTTTTAATGGTGTTTGATGGTGGAACCTTAGTCTCCCATCCCTCACAAAGTACGAAATAGCGCATGCATACCACGCTTTGAACCAAGTACAGCGGCTGAGTTACGCACTCGGAAATCTGTTGGGCTGGCCAACGGAAGTTTACGCTAAAGCATTGTTGACCAGGCTGTCAGCACGTACGAGGCGTGTAAGACCCCCGTCAACCTTCTGAGGCGGACCTGGTGTTCTTGTTCGTCTATATTACAGGCGTCTCCAATTTTTCCACAAGGCAATCCCGAATGCACCCCAATTATCATAGATGACAGTTCCCGCGGCACGCAAATTGACTGATCCTAATCAGCCTGTCGGGCTGAACGGGTGTTTCTGCTGCAAGCCAACTCAGGAATGCGTTTGGAGTGCGCCGACCACGGCTTCATGTCAGAGTAATCACTCGAGGTTGTGACGCGCGAGCGAACGAACAGCTGACGAGTGAACACAACGCTGGGTCGCCTTAAAGGTGATGCGGTGACGGCGAAATAAACGCTTCCAGGGGCTAGGGCGCTTTGAGTTCACCTTCGTGTTCTTAAGACAATCGAACTCCTGGGGTGGTCATGAAGCAAGATCCCAGCTTTTCCAAGCGAGCTTAGGTAGCTAGAAAACTAGCCCCATTTTACGATTAAAAGGGGGGAATCGACAAAACTCACTTGCTGGAGGGATTCCACGACCCGGAGAGGGGAAATCACGTCGACGGCCATCTACCGGGTAATAATCTCCATCAGACTCAGGATACCTCGGAGGACGGAAACTTCCTCGGTCCTCTTCCGGCAGGCGCTTATCATATTTAGGAGGGGGCGTTCTTTCTATAGGTCTTTCGACTGGCCTTCTAAAACCACAAGTCTTCGAAAAAGTGACTTGGACTTACCTGTCCATTGGTCGCTCAGGCCCCCGACGCGGTGGCTCATAGTAGTCGCCCATTTCGGGCTCTCTGTAAGGAACGCTCCTCTCATACGCAAATTCATCCGGCCTGCTGCGAGGAAGGAACGGCTCGTTCGACCTGGGGCCTCTAGGGTAAGGCGATGTTGCTGGAGCGTTGCGAAAAGGTGGACCAGCTGGTGGCTCCGGGTAAGGATAACGATCAGGTATTGGTGGGATGGGAGACCTGGACCTACGCCTAGGAAACCGTCCAGGTGGGCCGTAACGGCGAGGAGAATCCCTGTCCCAAGGTCTCGGAGGGGGATACATGGCGCGCGCTGCGAAGGAAGCTAAAGCCGATATGGCGCGCAGTATTAGGTAAAACAACCTGGCTTGCCCATTTACCGAAACGCCATACAGTGCAGTTTATCCTAATTCCAAAGCTCTCATATGAATGTGTTATTCTTAGTACTTCACTTGTGATCAAAAAGACTATGTGAGCAGCGCGTGGTTTGAAATTTTGGGTGTTGGTCGAACGGTGTGGCCGAGACTTAGATGTATACGAAAAATTTCTCTGGACCCGTAGTTTGAACGAGATCATCTCTAACAGGAAGTTTCGACATTTGATATTATGTATTTGAACCCTATAAGATTTCCCAGCAGCTTTGTAGGAATTCGTTTAAATTTTTCGATGTTCACTATGGGGGCGGAATACATATTTGATGGCTGATATATGCTTCGTGTGTAGTCCTCGTGAACACGATGTGAAATTTGTTTAGATCTGATTCATCTGCATGTTTTCTTACGTATTGGATATGGAAAGGGCCATAAGAACGATAATCATATCCGCGCAGCAGCCCTTCGCGACTTGTATCGGAGAGGTCTTCTATCGTTGCGGAGGGCGTCCCGCAAAACAAAGCCAAGTATTCGTCACAGCTAGTAGGTCTATTTATGATGGTCAGCACACGCTATGTCGGGTGCGGGGCAAGGTTTTACCTTCACCGGCATGCCGACCCCTTGGTATTGCAATTGGATGGACCTGTGAGTTTGTGCGCAATGCTCCTAAATCATGGCACAATATCAACGGATTGTGACGGTCCTACCAGCGCATGTAACGCGCTCATCTGGGAGACAATATGGATTGGGTGAACCGCAGGCAATCCATCAGATCGGGTGTGTCAGTCGTTTTACGATCCCTTCGACGTCGTACTTGGGCTCCTGGACAGCTCCGCAAATGAGGTTTTCGTCGTGGTCAGAATTTGCCAAAGTACCCAGCATGGGTTATTGATATTCCCAGGTCCATCGAGGACTCGAGGTGGTTCATTGCTGCCATTCACATGGGGTAATAATACATCTACATTAGGGAGTCGAAAAAGGAAAAGGCATCAAAAGGACTTCCCAGAAAGTACTGTTATATGAGTCAGACTGTGGCTGGAAATGGCAGGCTGTAAGAATTGGTCGTTATTCCCGAATACTGCGGTTAAGCGACACTGCCCGATTTCAAAAACGGCAATCGATATTCAGGTGTGATAATAGATAGTCAGACTGTGGCTGGAAATGGCAGGCTGTAAGAATTGGTCGTTATTCCCGAATACTGCGGTTAAGCGACACTGCCCGATTTCAAAAACGGCAATCGATATTCAGGTGTAGATAATAGATATACGGTCGGTGGCAACAGGTTTCGGCATACGTGAATATGAGAGATATGCATGGGCTAAACTGTGCTCAACGAAGGTAACGTGGGGCGTGTCGGGACGTGATATCGGAGGGAAACGTGAAATGACTGTTGGCGTTGCGCGTTTGTACGGCGATGTGACCTCAGAATGGCGCGTTTACATCCAAAAGAAAAGCTTGATATCTTTGCAAAGCGATCTGTCACTGAAACCTGACACCTCATGTATTTGGTGAGTCTGTTAACATCTGCGCTGTGCTATCGACAAATTTTCGGCCTCATGATAATCCTCCTATATAGGAGGATTCGTCGGGATAAATGCTGCAACCAGGTCAAGGTCAGGCCATCGGCACAGGTGTCCGACAAAAGTGGTTTCCATTTTTGTTTTTCTCTTTTCTCCACTTCTCGGCATACGGTATGATTACTTTTTGGGAGGGGATGCAGATAAAGTGATAGTTCTCAACTCCGCAATCTTTCGTTTGGGACAGGACTTACGGGTAGACAGTCCGGAAAGATATGGGCGCTCTTCAAAAGCCTCCGTACGCGAAGCAATGACCGTCAGAAGTTCAAAATACCTTCATTTCTATATAAATTCATGACCGACGAGATGATGAGACGAACGTTGAAATGCCTTCTGAACGCCTGTGTTCAAATAGCCTGGGAAGAAAACGCTTTCGATCTGAAACATGCTGAGGAGAAGGTACTGTTGTTTTTGGACGAAATGACCAAATTCATGACACCCTTTCGTATGTACTCTGCACTTACAATGTGTAAGGTCATGTTCCCGGACACACAGTGACTGGCTACGCCATTTGCAGTCCAACGAGCGGCACACGCATTTGTGGAAGTTATATTAGTTCTAATTCTAGCGTGACAGATAAGTTGAATGCACGAATCTGCAAGGCTGGGGGCGGATTTGCCCATCTGAAACACCCGTGGCGTCAAAGCACTGTATCCCTAAATATCGATAGGCGTGTGTATCAGGCTGTGAGACTTGGCCTGTTCGATGCTGTTTGACAATTGTCGTCTAAGGACAACAGCTAGCGTGATTTGATGTCGGCGAATCGGTAACGCGGCATATAGAAAGCGATTTTTCGGTTGTGCGACGGGGACTTCCATTGAAGGATGCGCGTAGTAATGTCAAAAATGTCAGTCAGCTTGGACGTATGTGGATGGGCAAGCGAGGCGCGCTGAGGGGGCGGCTAATTAGGAGTCAGGATCAACTTAACTACTTAGAGGACAAATCCTGGAGGTTGAAGGATTTGGGCTGAAGGATACTTGTTCCTGTGCGATGAGATATGGTCCTCAGCTGGATCATCAACGTTGTCTGAGATAGTTAAATCGCAATTGTTTAGCTGTCTTAGTGCCTCATCTATTTGGATATTGTAGACGTGTTTGCGGAAATGAAGGTCGGTCACAACACTTCGGCATAAACATCGAGATGGATGAGGCCCAAACCTATATGACAGACATGACAACGAGCTACAGTGTAGCTTTTAACATGCTATATGTGTATGAAATGCTGAAGCTTGTTATGTATAACCGGACGCCGAAAATCATAAACGCAAGCAAGCTAGCTGATCGGTTTCTAATAAAGGAGCCCCAGTTGATGAGACCCCTACCGCGGTGGAGTATGAGAAGCTTGCAAGGTATGCTGAGGATGACGGAGCGTTGGACTGTACTAGGCTACCAAGTATCGGTGTGGGAAAACAGGAGTGGAATGAAGTCGGTAGAATTGACATAAAGTACCCACACATTCGCCGGATTTTCGCCACGGCCGGATCCATGGTTCACGTCTAAGGATGCATGCGGTCCATGGATCCTATTGCTAAATTCTATACCGACTGATTTCACAAATTATGCCACTCTTTAGCTTTAACGTCGCTTCGTATAATGCCACATACGGTTGCCGGATGCTGCCATCGGATCATCGGTGTGCACCCTGCACCCTCATTGTCACCCAAGGGAAAAAGTGAGCAGGTAGTGAGTCTTCCTATGCACCGGTAAGGCCACAGCTTCAGCGTGGACACTCATCGGAAACTGTGGACACCGGTATTTATTGGGCACCTTGTGAGCTGACATCATACACTACTCATGATGTTGCTGAATATTCTCAGACTGCCAACTCTTGAAGTTGGTCACCAAAGCTTTTCAAATTTTGGTCTCAGTAAATTTGCGAACGATCCACACGAGTTGTAACTGGCTGCGCTTTCTTCCTTTCAGAAAAGCAGTCAAGTGAAAGAGATATTCCCAAACACTGAACAGGACTGACTGCCCGTTGGTACCGCCTGAGTCTTTAAAAATTAGCGGGACCTCATGCCTATTGTTTCATACAAGTTGCAAAAGAAACATATTATTATTACTTAATCGAGTACTTCCCACTGTTTATGACATTGTCCCCTTTTCGCGCAATTCCCACCACCCGCAAATCCCCATTCTACCCCAGCCTGACTGTAAACGCATGATCAGCCAGACGGTTATGCCACCCACAAGTTGGGAATATACATTACTATTATTATTATTATTATTATTATTATTATTATTAAATGGAAGCATAATTGGCCAAGCGTGGTTGAAAATTTTCCAGCGCGTACGTGGAAGACAGACGACATGTTCGGCTATGAAGGACCGTCTTCAGCCGTTGGATTAGTCTGTTATGTATCGTTGTGGCCTTATAGATAGCTACGAGCATGGGTACGGATCCGGCAGTTACTATAAGTGGCTAACTGGCACGACATCACGAAAGGTTACGAAAACGAAGAGTTATAGCTAGTCGTCGTACTATGCTATTATGCATAGCTGAGGCCTCGTAATCACCGTCGGGCATAGACTACGGCATAACGATTACGATAACCAGCCACATAGAGCAGAATTAGGATGATGAAGTGTATTAGAATAACGAGCTCCGACTGCAAAACTGCCACTGGAATAACGGTTTTCCTTGAGACACACCTAACTGGTTATTTTTCAGTTGCCCTTGACAAATGATCTCCATTTTTAGCATCAATTTTGACCCTCCTAGAACTTTTGCATGAGCTTTATAAATAGCCCGTCTTCGGCTGCACATGACACGCCTTACGCGTCGTCGTTGAATAAACCAGCTGATTCGCACGTTCGTTGGCTTTCTGGTTTGGCTGAGCGCATCAGACTATCGAGCAGCTATCCAGATCTGGGCTCACATTATCAAAAACGCAGGAAGAAAACTGTGGTCCGCAAGAGGTTGGCGACAGAAACAGTTGGAAATCAAACCACACAATGCCAAACAAAGAACAGATTTTGATTTTGATAGAGTATCAGGCAAAATTTAAAGTCTCAGTCGTGGTTAGTTAGTTCTCACAAATTAGGAATTCAAAGCCCTGCCACAGCTGAAACAGAAAAATTTTCTGTTGGTGCTGTTGCAAACAGTACGATTGAGATTCGCCATGATGCAGAATACAATTCCACCCGCAAATCATGGTTTCAAAGATACGATAACATTTCTTGGACGGAATGTGTGCATTTAAATGATGGTCGGAAATCACGGCTGTTACTCCCGAAGCTCGAGACAAGCAAGTATGACAAACTCATCAATTTAGTTCTCCCCGAACTCCAAGAAGACTTGCCCTTTGATGGACGCGCGCAACTTCTGAAGGATAGTTTCTGTGGGACATCTTCACTG